CTGCTGGGAAAATAAGAAAGAATATGCATTTTGTTAATTTTCAAAAGGGAGTGCGAGTTAATCGAGTTGTTATGCACTGACGCGATGTTAATAGCTACTTACAACGTTATTTTAAAGCTTTGTGATGGTCACAGGTGTACTTCCAGTGTGGAAGGGCAAAGGGCAGGCAGCACAATGCGGTGGTCTCTCTCCTGGTTAGAACACTATAGATTATCAAATTTGGTGGATGTGTTTTACACATATTATAAGGAGTTTTATTCTATTTTATCTTATTTATTTATTTTGGCTGCACCATACAGCATGTGGGATCTTCCCCAACCAGGGATCGAACCCGCATCCCCTGCAGTAGAAGCACGGAGTCTTAACCACTGGACCACCAGGGAAGTCCTCTGTTTTATTTTTAATAAATGTCATTTGGACCTGATTTTAATAAAGTTTACTACTTAAAAATTATTTCTGAGTCCAGATTCGTCCCATGCCACCTTTTCTGTGGAAAAAAGTTAAAAGTAAGAAAAGAAATTAGATAGCATCTGAGGATTTTTTTTCAGATTTCCTTTTAATAACAAAAGCTTGATTGGGCTGTTGGTGACATAACTCAAGCTGATGGATAGATGCATTCTTTTTTTTTTTTTTTTTTGTAACCCAGGGTGATGTAACAGAAACAGAAATTTTTCACTGCTTCCGTGAGTACCAAATGCTGAAATTCTACACGTCACCTAGAGCTCTATAATAACAGATTTTAATACCTCTCACTGTAGCTCTGCAAAGAACTCTTCCTTAAAAAAAACTTCAAATAATCATTGTGGAAAGCCTAGAAAAAGAGAAATACATCTTTTTGTTTTAAAGATGAATGGAGATACTTCCTGCCACATCAAAACTTAAAAGCCTATTGACAGAATTTTAGGCAGAGAAATGGAATATAACTAACAGGGATCCTCTGAGTGAGTATGATAAGAATAACTGTGAATTAAGACACGTAGGACATGCAGCTTGGTGTCTGAAGGGTTGGTTTGGGGCTGAACAAAAATATTCTCTGAGTCTCCCCAAAGTCAGTAGCTGAAGCCAAACGTCCCAAAGGCTTACGCTGACACAATGAAAAGAGACAATTTGCTTGGAAGGCTGTGGCTAATTTATAACACAATGTCCAATGTCATGGTTAGTTTTGTTGCAAAAATTTGGCAGTTTCACCCAGAGTCTCAGGCAGCCTGAAAAGATGCGAGCGATTCTGGCCACAGCATCTCCCGCTTGCTAGATGTTCCAAATGGTTCAAACAAGCCCTTTCATAGAGACGCAGGGCCAAGTGTGCTCAAAGGAATGAGGGAAACAAAGGTGGCTCTGAAGTCATTTCCCCGCACTGGGTCCAGCCATCCGGTTTCACTC